ACGTGTGGCTCACGCGCGGTTACTGTTGATGGCGGTGAAATTTTCTGGTGAGATTTCAGCCAAAAGATGGTCGATTCTGGTATATCTGAGGACGAGGAATCTGATGGTGGTGGTCTCATTGGCCGTTGATGGCTGAGGAGGGAGAATCGACGACTTGAAGGTCGATTGGCCGATGACGGTCGCGGCCTTTTTCCGGCCAAAATCGCCGGTGAAAAAGTGTAAAACGGCCGGGGTTTTGCTTAGGGGGAAGCGATGCACATTTCTGTGGCGGTTTCACGGCTTGAGACGGTCGGAAATGGGAGATCGGTGGAGAGAGAAGGAATCGCCGACGAGAGGAGAGAGAAACTCTGGGTTATGCTACGGTGTGGATGAGTGTATGGTGCGTTCGTGCGTCTGAAGGCTGTGAACAGCTGGATCTCGGATAAACAGATCATGCGACTGTGATTCGTTTGATCTTCAAGTTGATCGGACGGTCAAAAGTGAATGGGCTGCGATCTGGTGTGTCGCGGTGGACTGAGTGTTTGGATCGAAGGGCAGATTATTTGAACGGCTAAGATGGTAAAGCCTATTGTATCCTACGAAATCAAAGGCTCAGATCTAAATACTATTAGATCTAACGGTTGTGATATTTTTGGTATTTTTTAATTTATTAAAAAAATTTAATATCTTACTAGAGTGCAGAAAAAGTATAAGAAAAATAAATAGTACCCAAATAGTAACCCCAACAGTAATGCTCGAATTCAGAATTGAAATTGAGAATATATTTTTTTATCTTTTCTCCTCCTTGTGTCTTAAATTCATTCGCTATTTATAGCCAATGAAAGCAGACAATAAATCACAGATTGTTAAAATTTTCAACTTCTACTGATTACTATTTGTCTTATTATATATAATAATACTAAATAATAATAATAATATTTATTTATAGGGGTAAAAATTAAAAATTCAAATCAGTATTATAAAAAGTTTTTCATCCGCTAAAAATTAATTTTGAATTACAAAAAAAACTTTTTTATACAGGTATCAACTTAGTGGTGGGACCAAAAATACTAGTTTTGACCAAAAATAGTCCGAAACTCATTTTTTATCGCGGTCGACATGGTGGGACCCGTATTAACCCGGTGGACTCGGTTTTGACCGAAAATGACAGTTTTGACCGAAACAGCCCAAAACTTATTTTTCATTGCGGGCAACATGGTGGGACCCGTATTAACCCGGTGGACTCGGTTTTGACCGAAAATGACAGTTTTGACCGAAACAGCCCAAAACTTATTTTTCATTGCGGTCAACATGGTGGGACCCGTATTGACCCGGTGGACTCGGTTTTGACCGAAAATGACAGTTTTGACCGAAACAGCCCAAAACTTATTTTTCATTGCGGTCAACATGGTGGGACCCGTATTGACCCGGTGGACTCGGTTTTGACCGAAAATGACAGTTTTGACCGAAACAGCCCAAAACTTATTTTTCATTGCGGTCAACATGGTGGGACCCGTATTGACCCGGTGGACTCGGTTTTGATAGAAAATGATGGTTGACTAGAAAAAATATATTTTAAACTCTTTTTTTCTCTTTTTTTATTTATTATATATATATTTTTTGTCATGAACAATAAGATAAAATAACATTAAAAAATTTTTAGTGAATCCAAAATTGGGATACAACATATGTTATGGTCTGTACTAGACCAGACATTACCCATGTAGTGGGAGTTGTAAGCCGATATATGAGCAATCCTGGAAAGCAGCATTGGGAGGCGGTAAAATGGATTATGAGGTATTTAAAAGGCTCATCAGAGACATGTCTTACCTTCACAGCTGGTGGTTTGAAACATGAAGGTTTTGTTGATGCAGATCTAGCAGGAGATGTTGATAACATAAAGAGTACTATATGATATATACACTCTAGGAGGCACTACTGTTTTTTAGAGTTCTACCTTGCAAAAGATAGTCGCTCTTTCAATGATAAAAGCTGAATATGTTGCAGTTTTAGAATCTGTATAAGAGATAGTATGGCTACAGAGTTTTTTTCAAGAAATAGCAAGATGAATGGAAAGGGTACTTTATATAGTGATAGTCAGAGTGCAATATTCCTTGCCAAAAATTCAGCATTTTACTCCAGAACAAAGCACATACAGATCAAATATCACTTCATCCGACAATTGCTCGACGATGAGCAACTGTTACTTGAAAAGATCTGTGGAAGCAAGAATCCAGCTGACATATTAACCAAAGGAGTTACTCTTGATAAACTGAAACTGTGTAAAATTTCAGTTGGTCTTAAAGATTAAAAGACAAATCTAGCACCATTTGTGTCCAAGTGGGAGATTGTTATATGTGGACACAATATGGTTGGTGGCAACTATGTTTAACATGGGGAGAGTCAATGGTGGATGCCTAACCAAAGAAAATGATGCCCACCATAATTGACCAAAGAAAGAAAATTGTCTCCCATATAGGGTGTCATTGATAACTAAGATATATAAGATAGAGAGAAACACAAAGAGAGTTAGAGTGAGAGTTGAGTTGAGTTGAGTAGAGAAGTTTTTCTTATCTGTTTTATTTTATTATTTGTATTGTTTTAAACTTGATTAATACAAACTAATATCTTTGTGAAGTAAACAAATTGTTAAACTATATAAATTAATATGTATTTTGAATGTTTGAATATACTAACACGAAAGTCCTTGGAGAAATGGGAGACAAATTGTGGTGCTAATTTGCTACGTTTGAAAACTGAAGTTTTACTAAAGACCAACTTAATATAGTCTACTGCTATATAGAATTCGGTGAAGACAGGAAATTGGGAACCACAGAGCAAAGCTGGACGAAGTGAATTAATTACAAGTATGTATTGCATCGACACTTACTTAATGCCATACAGACCGATTAACAAAGTAGAAACATAAATTTTGTTTGTAAATAAATTGTTTGATTTGAATTATCGAGGATAAATAAATTGAATTTATATATTTAACAAAGATAAAATTTATTTTATTTTATTTTTTGTATTACTTTTATTATTTTCATTTGATTTCTTTAAAAATCTTTAATTTTTTTTTAAGAAAAGCTAAATGGATATCTTGTAGTATTTTTAAATATTAAATTTTATTTAGAATTCAATTTTTAATACTTAAAAACAGTTATATGAGATTTTATTAAAACTTCTTAATTCCATTTGATTTATAGGATTAAAAGCATTAATTCCACCCGAATTGAATTGCATGAGTTTGGAAACATTTCCTTGGTTTGTTCGACAATTTCCCATGCACTTATCGAGTTTGGACATGACTTCGATTCTACCACTAATTTTTCCACAAATCTCTACACAGCATGGGAATATTTTCTTATCAAACATGCCGCCGAGTGTAAAAATTACCTCATCTCTACTAAAAAGAAAAGAAAACAAGAGAGAGGATTCATCAGTTCATTCAATTCGCATTTCAGTCATTAATTGTTTCTGTCTTTCTTTCTTTTTATGAGGATATCCACACTTTGCTTTTGAAAAGAAAGAAAGTGGGTGCTATCTCTATTTGTGGAATGCTAAAATCATCTTGAGGAAACTTAAATACGTACACGAAATCAGCTAATGACGTTGCTAGTTAGAAAACAGACGTTGCTAGTTAGAAAACAGCATCAGCTAAAACAAGTACTAAGTAATTGTCTATCTGGAAACTGAAATGCGTGCAAGAAATTAAATCAGGTAAAGCTCAATGCTATGCACAATCAGAGAATTAACTATTTTAGTAAGCCTTTTACCAACTCGAACCACATACACGTAAAGTACTAAAATTAACAACCACTAACAGCGCATGCATGCAAAACTTTCTCAGGAAGCGTGGGAGCAAAGTATCACCACTAGCATAGTAAATATGTAAAATTCCTGAATATAGTATACCCTCAATTAGTTTATTTAAGTAAAGATTAAAATAAAGATTAGTATGATTAAACATACCATTTGCAAGATCCAGAAGGAAATCGGCAGGATTCATGGGAACTGCTGGAGCATATCCAATGCTGGAAAAGTAATCCATGACTTGTGATCTCTCCCCAAAGTACAATGGGTTGCCTTCTGATAACAACAAAACCTTGTCAAAAAAGTAAAACAACCTACTTGAAGGTTGATGGATGGTCATTACAATTGTTCTTCCTCCTTTTGCAAGTTCCCACAACGTTGACACAATTCTCTGAGCTGTTGTCGAATCAAGACCTGATGTTGGCTCATCCAACAAAAGAAGGCTAGGGTTTATGAGCATTTCTTGGGCTATGCTAACCCTCTTTCTTTCACCCCCAGAAAGTCCTCTCAAAAATGGTCCCCCAATGATGCTATTCTTGCACTTGGTCAAACCTAGTTGAGTGATTACAGATTCTGCATGCATGATCTTCTCTTCTTTAGTAAAAGTATTTTCCATCCTAAGAAGGGCAGTGAAAACCAATGTTTCTGCCACTGTTAAATGAGGGTAAAGAACATCATCTTGAGTAACAAATCCCATGTTCCTTTTCATTGAGTTGGAGAAGCTCTTTCCATTATAGGTTATGTTCCCATCAAGTAGTCCTCCAAGTTTGCCTCCTAATGCAGTTAAGAGAGTTGTTTTGGAACTGCCTGAGGGACCTAACATGGCTAACATTTCACCAGGTAGAACCTTGCCTGTGACTCCTTTCAAGATAAATTTTTCTTCTGTTTTGGTAATCTTTCCACAAAAACATGATTTCGTGAATTTGACCTTGTAGACTACATCCTCAAACTGTACATTTAATCAAAACCAAGATTGCCTTAAAAATGCAAGAAACAGATAAAAATAAAATAAAATAAAGGAACCAGAAAACATGCAATGAAACCATCATGTAATCAAAGCCATTTTTATCAAAATAAAAATAGCACTAAACTAATGGAAAGAAAAAAAGAAGTTTAAATTCTTGTATATCAGTCCTACCTTCAAAGCAATAGCATTATTGGCTTTCTTGAAAATGGCTGCAACTTCTGGTTGTTTATCATTTTGTGCCTCTATGTCAGCCGTCTCTTCTTCCATGTTGGCCCCTCAATCTACGATTTCTCTTTCAATCTAAAAACAAATGACAGAGATTAACGTCCGGCTCCTTTGTTTCAGTCAACAGTTGTTACTCTTATATGTCAAATAGAAGCACGTATTGTATGTGACACAAAAGTAGGGAACAAAAAAGGAGAAGAGAGAAGAGGAGGCTAGAATAGGGTTCATGCGAGAGAAGTGAAGAACACGAGTAGGGTTAACTGAAACAAAGGGAGAGATGCTTGGCTTTAATTTCAAGATGAGGAATGTTAACTTGTTGAACTACTTACCTTGGCTTTTGTTGGGTTTGCTTTACCAAAAGTTTTACGAGTTTAATTATACCCGTATTTAGAGCATTTCTATCTCCTTTTCTGTTATATTATACCACGATACCATTACCATCTGTAGTATTTGTCTCAGCCATCTAGCTAGACTTTTGTTTTTTTTCAAGTCCCAATCTAGTAAGTTGGGAAGTTATGGGAAAAGAATTCTGTCATATGGTGCTTCTTTTGAATAACTATTTTTTTTTTATTTCTTTATATTCTATATATTTATTTCTTTTTGTAATTTTACTTATTACATTGAAATTTATCCATTTTGATCTTATTGGTAGTGTTTGTGATAATTACGAAACAAAATTAGGGAGCTTATTTAATAATGGTGTTTCTTTATATTATTAATTTTCAAATCATTAACTTTAATTATCAATCAAATATAATAATAATTAATGAAATTAAAAAGAGAGAAACGATTAAGTCAATTGAATTAATCCGTGAAACCTGACACCTGGATGATGAGACAAAACAAAACCTAATAAAAATCAAATTCAATGTTAAAGGATTTATGACCCGGGTTATAAGATTAAGATAATTTTTTAGAAAAAAATTTAAAATACAACAAAATTTAACTAGGATTAAAATGTAAAAAATCAAGTATTTGATCATGAGACCAAGATATAACCATAGAAAACAAATCAAAATATATTATAAAACTCAATTTTCAACTAATCTAACATTTAATGATGAAAATAAAAAAAATCAATTAGAAAAAGAACACAAAAAAAAATCGAGTAAATTCAGATTAATACGTGAAGCACTATTATCATGTCATGACATCAGAATAATCTAATATAAAACAAATAACGAAGTTTAATTCTAATCAACTTAATATTAAAAAATAAAATTAAAAAACATTAATTAAAAAACACTCGAGTCAACCGTGTTAACTCGCTAAACCAAAGATTTATGTTATGAGAGTAAGATAACCTAATAAAAAAATAAATATAATATTAAAATATTAAATTTTATTTAAAAACATTAATTGAAAACAATCAAAAAATAAGAAAAAAAACAAAACACTATTCTAATAAATAGTATTTTATGAGTAGGTATAGTAAAAAACTCTTTCTTTTTTAGCTTTTTTTTTGTTAATTATAAAAGAAATTAATATTGTTTTAACTTATCTTACTATCAATGTAAATAGCATTATTTCTTCGCGTTGCAAATTTTATTGTTCTTAAGACACGGAAAAATAAACTTTAGTCCTTGTAATTTTTTATTTTTATCTTTTGATTCCTATAATTATTGGTGTTCACATTTAAGAGAGATATTTTCATTGTTTCATTACTTGATTAATTCATTGTTTCTTTTCTCTATACTTTGACAGTTAGTCATATTGAGAGATATTTTTATATTGAATTTATATAACTTGTCGCTACACGA